GTCATCTACGAACAAAATGCCAAATGACTACAACGAATGTAAATTCCTACTAGCTACTGAAGGAGGCTTGTTATACATTCAACATGCTTCTTGTGGGAAAATATGTAGGAACTACGATGGATGCAAGTATCTACAAATGCATAGCAGGAGATTTGTTAGTGCACAATAATCTACTTGCAAAAAATAACAAGTAATGCACGACAGTCTACCTGTACGAAACAGACAAATAATTGTAGTATGACGCCACGCCATCGGATCCGCTATATGTATACAAACGGACAAAAGGCACGTATGAGCTTCTAAATAGAACAGTACATTCGAATGACGGTTGCCCTAGTTAATCAACGTAAAATATTCAAAATACCCCCACATATGCACTATAATTTGTCTACACATAAACACAAAAAATGCATGTGTAATCATACACCCACATGGGCCCCGACGAGCGTGTTATGGGTACACACATGACGTCTAGAGATGCTACGCGGGTCAATAAATGAATCGCAGTTCGAGCCCAATCCTTCTATATGGATAGATATGAGTCGACACTGCTCGAATTATCAAACAGATATATGGTCAAGGTGTCGATCGAAATATCTGTTTTATACGTTTATATAAGGCCTTCAGACCTACCAACAAAATGGATTTATCAACAAAAAACATACAGCTGATACAAACCCGATCTTTTGTCAGCAAATTGACAAAGTCGTCAATGTTCAATCCACAAATGCAAATGCCCATGACCACCCCGATGATGGTCGTGTTGAACGTAGATCTCAACCTTAGGGGTTAACTCAAGTCATTTCAAATGCCTCCAAACTTCCATGAAGTTCAAATTCCAATACAATGCAATTGCCCATAATACCCCGATGATGGCCGTGTTGATAGAAAATCTCAACCTGAGAGGTTAATTTTAATATTTCAAAATTCTACCAAATTACCCCAAAATCCAAATATTTGAAATTGGAATCCATCATCGAACACTTAAAGCAAAAATTCATCCATCCTCCATAATCGCTTGCCAAGGTGGACAAATTTTGAAAATATAGCTTCAGCTCACAAAGAGCTAATGTCTGGTCGAAAATATTATTAGGATTCATTCTCAAACAGTCTCTTGCCAGTAAGGATGTGGCACGTGTCCTCTAACCGACAATTTTGCCGACAAATGGCACCGTAGGTAAATAGTTATGACTGAAGCCCTCTGAACCGGGTGGTTTGCTGCCAAATGACACCACTAAATTATAGTCATGGCTAGAGCCCATATGCTGCCCAATGACATCAAATTCTTGAGATATGAATCAATATGATATGATCGATAGGGCATAAAGGTCTCTGTCAGCTAAGGTGAATTTAAATTTATCCTCTTAAACAAATACTTACCCCAGGTCTACAAAGTACTCTTGTACAAAGTAACCCATGGATACCGACAAGGATCCTTCTGTCAGGTTGGGTCGACTACCTCCTTTGACTAAGTGGATCAGGGACCACGATGGCCTGGGATGACAAAACTATGGGATCTTGATCGAGTCCATTACCACTTCCCCCACCATCCGCTTTTAGTGCAATATGGTGAAATTTTCAGTTTTAAATATCAAATTTTCAAACCCTCTACCCATGCTACTATTATATGCCAGATATCATGTATTTCTACGTATCTGTTTGATAACTGGCCTTAATCAAAAATTTTCTCTTATTATTGGGAGTGGTAATTAACTATAGGGGCTTGCACCTATAGGCGCGCCTATAGGAAACCGGAACTCATATCATAAGTCCTCACAAAATGAGGACAAAATATCTGGGTAGTGTCTTATCTACAAACTCATCTGCCTTCCCAAAATTTACCCTAAAACTTAATATGTTAAAACTCTTCGAAAGCAATGGGAGGCCGGGGCGCGAATTTTTAGAGCCCAAAGTTAAAGAGAAAAATATTCCATCAAGTACAATCAATACAACAACAACAACATCAAGCCTTTATCCCACTACGTGGGGTCGACTACATGAATCCTTTTTCTCCATTGTGTCCTATTAAAAGCCAAATTCTTGTTTAAATCTAATAAAGAAATGTCATTTCTAATATTTTCTAACCAAGTCTTTTTAGGTCTGCCTCTACCTTTCTTAACATAAGTCAAATCTAATACCTCTACTCTCCTAACCAGGTCATCGGAAGGCCACCGTTTTATGTGACCAAACCATCTAAGGCGACTCTCTCTAATCTTATCTTCTACTGGAGCTACTCCAACCTTTTCACGTATATGCTCATTTCGTATCCTATCTCTAAGGGTAAAGCCACTCATCCACCTGAGCATCCTCATCTCTACCACACTTAACTTAGAATTATGCTTCTCTTTTAATGGCCAACATTCGACACCATAAAGCATTGTAGGCATCACCACCATCTTATAGAATTTTCCCTTAAGTTTGAGGGGTACTTTTCTATCACACAACAAGCCCGCGTAAAACTAGAGGGTTGCGTAAGGTAGTCGACAGCTAGCGTAAAACTTGTCGAATAATAATCACATGAATCCTTTAAGAAATTGTGTTAATGCTAGGGCGTCCCCTAGAAGCGACGCGCTATATGACCTAAATATAGTGACAAGTGTGCAAGGGCCGCTGTACCGGTGCCCGAGTGTAGTGTTAAATAGGCAATGGTTCCCACATCAATGACGGATGTGGGAAAATAAGCTAGTCCATGAAATTAAAAAATATGAAATTAAAATTAGGATAAGAACTTGGAATATAGATTCCTTTACAGAAAAATTAATGAAATTAATAGATATTATGATTCATAAGAAGTTAAATATTTTGTGCATTCAGAAAGCTAAATAGGTTGGAGAGAAGGCCAAGAAAATTGATAGTTTAGGATTTAAACTTTGGTATTCGAGTAGAAGTCGTATTAGAAATGATGTATGTGTTATTCTAGATAAGAATTTAAAGGATAATGTTATAAAAATTAATATGATTGGAGATAGAATTACTAGTTTAAAAATTATTTCTTAATACTAAGATTGTTAATATTATAAGTGCTTATGCTCCTCAAGTAGGTTTGAATATGAGTTCTAAATTACATTTTTGGAATGACTTAGAAGAATTAATACAAAAGATACCTCTTGAAGAAAGAATTTTTATTAGATGAGATTTAAATGAACATGTTGGTAGAGAGGTAGATGATTTTAAAAGCTTTCATGGTGACCATGAGTTTGGAACGAAAAATGAAGGTGACAAGACCATATTAGATTTTTGTTTAGCTTATGATTGTTTAATTGATAATACCTTATTTAAGAAAATGAATGAGCATCTCATCACTTATAAAAATGGATATAGTATAACTTAGATTGACTATTTTCTTATAAAAAAAATTAGATCGTTTAGATTGCAAATATTGTAAAGTTATTTCGAGTGAAAATTTATGTACTCAACATCAATTATTAGATTTGGACCTTAAGATAAAGCGGCAGAAAATAAAAAATAAAGTAAAAAGATATTCTAGGATTAGATGGGGGCATTTAAAGAATATTAATAAAAATATTTTTGAGAGTAAGATTTTAGTTCTTAAGATTTTGTCTGTGTATGAGGATGCTAATGTTATGTGGGAAAAAGTGACTAATGATATTAAAAATATTGCAAAAGATGTGCTTGGAGTATTAAAGGAAAAAAACTTATAATAGTAAAAATAATTTGTGGTGGAATCCAAATGTGTAAGAAAAGATTAGAAATAAGAAGATTTGTTATAAAAATTGGTTTATTTTTAACAATTCTGATAATTGGGAAAGATATAAAGAGGCTCGTAAGGAATTTAAGAAAATAGTATGCGATGCAAAGATCTTAATTTTTATTGATTTATTTAATAGAGATACTAAAGAGGGAGAAATATATATGTATAAGTTAGCCAAACAAAGAGATAGGAGTAGTAAGGATTTAGCTCAAGTGAAGTGTATTAAGGATGAAGATCAATAGGTGGGAAAAATAGAAAGGAACAAAGTAATAGTGACTCTTGAGGCATTTATCGGGCATAAAAGATTCATAAAATAATGTCTTGAGCACTGGAAAAATTAATATCAAAGGCACCTGCCTCGAACATCGCTATAAAAGCTTGAGGTGAAAAAGGCAAAACCTTATATAGGATTGCAAAAGCTCTATTATGACAGCTTGTCTCCTATGTAAAGGTTGGTAGGAAAGTAAAAAAGTTACTTGGGTAGCTAGGCACGTGTGCAAACGTTGCAGCCCCTAATGAATCCCCTCAATGGGGTATTTTTAGTAAATTTGAGTGCAGTTTCTTGTAGTTTCATGATGACTACCCCCTGTGAAGATGAGATGCTTATGATAGACAGATCATACAGCGCTTTATTTTTTTTTTTTCTGGGAAAAATTGAGGGCGTGACCATTTTATAAAGTAAAAAGATTGTACATGTATAAACCAAAAATTAGCCTGCAGCAAAAACAGAGGCTAAAACAAAAAGAAGCAATGGGCATTGAATTCGACAATGTATGAGGAAGGGATTCTATACTCAGAGCTTTGGGCGAGTTATGCGATATGACAACACATGGGAGCATGTATGCATTTGATGGCACGAATCTCTTAGGCACGATAAAGGGCCCCTGAGCATGCTTCAGCGGTTGCGCTACATGATAAATGTGCATCTTCATTCCACTGCACAGTGCGGCAAATTTGATGAGATGTTCTTGCTACAACTTGGTCCAAATGCATGCTTGAGAAGATTCATGACTTGAAAGAGCTAAGACAACATTCATGCTGTTTTGTTTTCCTAGTTCGCATGAATAATTCTGGCCTGAAAGGTTAAAATTTCACTTCATTGCATTAAATAAAAGGTTGGGATTCAATACTGCTTATGCCAATTAGATTAAAAAATCAACACTTATAAGCAATTTCTTTTAATTATACTTTAGCAGCTAATATCAGTAACAAACTTGCTTCAATTTCAATCATAGATAGCTAAGGCATAAGAATCAATTGTAATTGCTAATCTGAAGGCAGGCATTACCTGAAATACTTTGTCAAACGTTATCTTACCGACACCAACTAGGTGAGATCCAGCATAAAAGATGGCTGCATAAACACAAAATACTAATAGGTAGGAAACCCCATACGCCATTCCGCTAAGTATTCCTTGTTTGATTCCTGCTTTAATGGGGCCTTTGCATTTCTTTTTATATAGTTCCATTATCTTCTCCTCAGCTGAGAATGAAGCGATTGTCCTCATGCTTCCCAATGCATCATTTGCCACTTGACTTGCTTCCTCGTACATCTTCTGCAATAGTTTTGCAATATATAGTGAGATCATTATCTGAAAAGTGTTTAGGTTCTAGGATGTTGAAAACTTCTCATGGTTCTTATTTGATCCAATTTGCCTCAAATGTGATAGAAAGACTACAACGTTTAGATGAGATGTTGAGCCAAACCTCTGCATTAGCACTGAATCCTTTGTTAAACTTCATTCTAACAATTCCGTTGAGACTTATTATTGGTACTAATGCTAAGATAATAAGTGTGAGTTGCCAACTTGCAACAAAGGCAACTGCCAAGCCACAAACTAAGGTGGAAATATTCTGAACAAGTACTGCTAGTGCATCACCAACAAGGCTTCTTAAAGCAACGGCATCTGTTGAAAGTCTTGCACTAATTGCCCCGCTGGAGTTTTCAATTTGATCAAACCATGCTATCTCCATGTTGACCACCTTCTGAAATGTCATCAATCTAATCCTTCTAATCAGCTTTGCCCCAGCAATCGCAAACAAGTATGATCTTATTGGAATTGCCACCAGACCAACTGCACCAAATACCAAGTACATAGTTGACCAAAATATAGAATCTTTCTTAAGCTTATGTGGTGCCTCGTAGAAAGTCCTTATCATAGTAGATAGTAGTATTGCATAAGCAGGGTATAAAACCCCATTGAAAAATGCTGCTACTGAACCAAAAAGCAAAATCAGGGCCTCTGGCTTGTTAATATGTGCAAGGCGGCGTATAGATTCTTCTATAGACTTTTTAGATGGAATATCTTCTTTTGGTTCCCCTGATGGACTCTCTTGCCAGTTGATCGCAACTGGCAAAGCAGGCTCCGTGAAGAATAAATGGCCGCTCACATACCTCAAAGATGATTCTCTGCTAATGGATTGTTTTAGTGAACCTAGATCAACTGGCAAAGCAGGCTCCGTGAAGAATAAGTGGCCGCTCACATCCCTCAAAGATGATTCTCTGCTAATGGATTGTTTTAGTGAACCTTTCCTGCTCAATGATGATACTTCTATGGCTGGAAGAATAACTTCCACCGTTTGAGCCTGTGATGATTGATTAAAATTTTGGTCCATTTCTTGTAACCGAATGAGTTGGCTGTAAGCTCCCATTGGGTCCTTTTGTAGCTCTAAGTGAGAACCTAACCAAATTAAAAACTCGTAAGTGGTGTCTTCATATCGGATGAAGAAGTATACATTTCCTAATGACTAACTAGGTCATAACAATCCTAGTTCTACCGTTAAAAAAACTTTATTATTTTTGTTTAGGGTTTAGGGAATGAAAAATTAGCTAACTATTAATATTCATAGGCTAGCACAATATTACCTTTTTCGATAATTGAACCTTGGTGCATAACAGCAATGGTATCTGCATTTCTTACAGTGCTAAGGCGATGAGCAATTATAACAGTGGTGTGATTTATCATGACTCTATCTAATGCCTCTTGCACAACTTGCTCTGATTCTACATCTAGTGCACTTGTGGCTTCATCTAGAAGTAATATTCTTGGGTCTTTCAAGATAGCTCGAGCAATGGAGATCCTTTGCTTTTGACCTCCTGATAGTTGAGTACCTTGCTCTCCAACCATGGTATCCAGTCCCTGAGAAGAATGAGCTACTCCTGTTACAACCTATTTAGTTTATTTCAACGAACATGCACATATTTCTAATAAAACAATTCATCAGGAAGTTCAGAACAACCTGAGGCATCATATTAATGAATTTTGAAGCATTAGCTAGTTCAGTTGCAGCTTTGATCTCTTCAATTGTTGCATTGTTTTTGCCATAGGTGATATTATCTCCAATGGTTGAGCCAAAGAGGATAGGCTCCTGGCTAACCAATCCAATTTTCTCTCTGAGCCATCTTAGTTGGAATTGTTTAATATTTGTGCCATCAATGAGAACCACACCATCTTGTGGATCATAAAACCGTTCTATTAGGCTGATCACTGTTGATTTCCCGCTTCCACTCCCTCCAACCAATGCTACTGTTGTGCCGTGCTGAATGAAAAGTGATAATCCAGTGAATATTTTCTGTTCTGGTCTGGAAGGATAGCTAAAATGAACATCTTTAAACTCTATGCTCCCAACAATAACATCCAATGTTTTTCCTGTTGAGTCAGTCGCGTCAATTTCTGGCTTTCTATTGATAGTCTCAAACATCTTATAAGCCGCAGCTTGTCCTGCAGCAAATGCTGCCATGCACGGGGATACCTGAGCCAAAGAGCTGAAAGAATAGCAAGTCGATTGTCAGTCACGCTGCTTACTAAGCCAAGTTACCAAATGAGAGCACTAACTCAACGACAAGGCAAAGTTCATTCAAAATTGCGAAATATCTCATGGAGATATATGTTACTGTACCTTCTGTATGTTATATATGACTGTTCCTATCTGTACATGATAATTTGTCTAAATATGCATGCTTACATTTCTTAATAGAAGTTATAATAGTTAGCTGAAAAGGACACTCTTACATTCGAATAAAAGAAGTCTGGATAAAGTAGTGTATAAGGAAAGGCATGGAAAAAAGACCCATTTCTAGTCCCTCCACATCACCAGTTGGAATTACACTATGAAATGCTCTAGAATAGAAGAGCAGGTAGTTTCTACTTCCTCAAGAATCCTTCATGAAAACTGGCATTCGGGAAGTTAGTGGCGGTGCAATAATACCCACCAGAAGTTAACCATGAAAAATCAATATCAATAGAAGATAAATTACTAAAGCCTCCTCTTGCCATATCCCCGTGACCAAGTGAAACATTACTTATACTAGCAAAATAGTAATTGCTAGTGAACAAGTTTATGCATGCCCCTGACACTAATTGCATCCAGTTAACTGAAAAGTATGATAAGAAACTTGCTTTCATATGAACACTTTTTATGCCGGTTTAGAAGTTAAATTGTTTGAATGTTTTCCATATTTATGCTTCTAGTTTTGTTCTTTTGAATATACATGTTAAAAAATTACCACATGTTAGTAACTTACGAGGAACCAAATAAGACCGAAAATATAATGGAAATAACTTTCCCACCATTGTAGCCTCTTTGCAGTATCAATTTTGCTCCATACCAAAAGCCCAAAGAAAGTGCACAGTAGGATAAAAAAGTAAGAATACCAGAGCCGAATCCAGCAACAATGCCCTCATTAATGCTGGATTTGTAGGCGTTTTTTAGAGTCTTTTCAAAATTTTTCACTGATAGATTTTCCCCAGTAAAAGAAGCCACCTGAAACATAACAGTTTTTAGAATGAATCGTACCATACTTTTTATTTGTAAACAATCATAACTGATGTAAATTTAGTTACGTGTGACATACAGTTCTTATTGAGCTTATTGTTTGCTGTACAATTATAGATGTTTCTGCATTGGCGTTTTGTCCAATTGAAGCTGTCTTGATTGTAACTTTTGATATGATTACACTGCAAAGTCCGATTATGGGAATAACGGATATCATGACCAGGGTGAGAAGCCACCCTTGAGCAAATGCAATGATGAAGGCCGTGAAGAATGTAGATGTTAGCCCAATGAACTTTCCAACCTGCAGATTGGTAAGAGTGTAAGAATGACCAACGACATGAATTCGTTTATTGTTTCTATTATTTCAATGAATTAGAGTTGGAACCTTTTCGCCCATGGCATCTTGAATGAGGACGGTGTCCCCAGATATCCTGCTTACAATTTCACCTGTATTTCCTTCCTTGTCAAAGAATGCAATTTCTTGCTTTAATAATGCTTTCAAGTACGAATTCCTTATTCTAGCCGCCTGCCGTTCCCCAGTGACCATCCAACAAGACACCTCTGTTTCCACATATATGCCAATTATTAGTTCAGACTAAAACTTTTATCAACTTTATTTAATTGTTTAAGAAAATGAAGTAGCATACATACGGAAAAATGATGAGAAACCTGCGCCAATTGCCAGGTAGACTATGTTTAGACATACCTGCACGCATAAACCATTTCCTTTTTAATAGTTCATATAAAACTGAGAGACCTTTTAGATATTAATAAATGTTGTTTTTGAGTTCATTTGGTAAAATATCTTGTACAAATGATTTGAATTAGAAAACAATTTGATTTATTAAACATGGAAGATAGAAGGGCCAAGACACAGAGACACTAATATATGATTATAGTACTTTTATGTCATATATTCATTTATATAAATTTATGTGGCTTCAAATATACGTTCACATGCACCTACAACATCTTATTCAGGAGGAATAAGAAATCTCATGATATTTTGCGGATAAAGGAGGCAATTTTTTGATTTATCTTTATTGTTCGTGGTTCGAACCAGACAAAATAGTTTAGTAAGCAGCTGTTAGGAGCTGCAGCAAGTCTTTCTAAACTAAAGTTCTCTACTCCGAGGACTCTTTTCACTATTGACAGGTAGTTTAAAATTTAAACAAGACAATCTTTGAAAGAAAGCTTCATGTACCTTGGAAACTCTGTGAACCACTTGATCGATATCTGGATCTTCTCCAAAAGTGTTGATTAAACTTCCCACGATGACTGTAAGAAGAGGCATAGTAGCTCCATTTGCCAATGCTCCAGCCGTGCCCAGAGTCATCAAAATAATATCAGTTGAATCCGAGAAGGAGAACAGCTTATAGATTGGAACAACTTTAGTCTCCTGGTCCTCTTTCTTGCCATCTCTTGCATCCTGCTTTATTTCACTGCCATTTCCTTCTGCTTTTGTTGAGATTGAGTTCCAGGAAGTTGGAGCAATTAAATTTTGGAGATCATGGCTTACTCCATCCTCCTCAATTGGGGAATCATCTATTCTACTCGACATTTTCCTCATCAGTTTTTCCATCACTGTTGAAAAGGTTGAACTTTCTCAGTTTTCTATTTATTGTTATGCATTGACACTAAACAGTAAAAATCCAGGGAGGGAACGGTTCTATAATCTGTGTAGAAATTTTCTGATCTTATAGCTCGGGGAATTGCTCAAAGACTTAGGGAAAGATGAGAAAAACTTCAATAAACAAAGAAGAATGGCATGTTAAATAGAAGCAGAACTGTTTTTTTGGTTCTTGTTTGACCAACTTATAAACACTTGTATGTTTTGGAGCTTTTTGTTTTTCAAAAAGAAAATAATCCGAGTAAAAGATGAAACTGCTTACGAATTCAAATGTTGTTTTTGAACTTTAATTCATGCAAAAAAAAAAGCAAATAAAAATTAAAAATAAACAATAAATACAAAGGCAACCGAAAAATATTTCTCAAGTCTGCAATTAGGTAAGTAAAACGCACCGAGGAAACTCCCAGCAAGGAATGTTTGCCAAAAGACTCAAAACAATAACAAGAGGTTTGCGTTTTCATTGACTCATTGTTACTGGTAAAATGAATCAATTGGAAAATTGTCTTTCATTTCTTGGAAGAAATAATAGCTTATTGGAAGAAATAATAGCTTATTGCTTCCGGTTGTTCTGACCTCTTAGTTGTCCGTCTAAATTATTATTAACACCATTCGGTTAATTTAGTAAGAAATTTCTGAAAGGAACATAAATATTTTTTAGTTGACTGATTCAACGGCTACTTAATAAAAAAATTTTCTCTACGAGTTAGTAGGCTCTCCTGGGAATGCTTTTGAGCTGTTTTATTTCTAAATGTTTATAATCATGAGGTTTTATACTCATTATTTTCTTTCTTTTGGCTATTAATTTATAATGGTAACATCATTTTATTAATGATATTAATTAGACATGATTTTCAAATTTTTTGAAACTCTAAGTTATTAATTAAATGAAGGCATTAATGCCAGAGAGTCCTGTTATACCATTAAAATAACAACCTAAGAAAAAAATATCATTGTTAATGGACATAAGAAAAATTGATGCAATCATTTTTATAATGAGATTACTAAGCTTCCCTTCACCCTCCGCTCTCTTGTTTCTCTCTTATTATATAATGTCGCTTCTTATATATAATTTTTTTACCTGTCATCAGAGTATTATGGTGTTTCTTTAATGTAAATGTGGGCAGCCGGACAGATAAAACTGATTGGGTTACATCATGCAGGTTGAGGCGCAGAAATATATACTGGCTTTAAATCCTTTCTTTTATTTCTTCTTGTGGCCTTATCTGGAGAAGACGATAACATGCAATATAGCAAATTAAACGACAACGTGCAACACGGGAAAACTGTGAACCCAATGACAGGTACGGTTACATTGCTCACAATTTTCTGTTTTGCAAATCCTAAAAATGTTGACTCGCTTTCACGGTTTTTACGCTTCTACTTCTGCTCCTGGTTTTGCCCATCTTCTACTTTTATATAATGATAATCCAGGCTTCAGTTGATTGATTTCACATGCATCATGTTGATGTGTAACCCGTTTATGAATGTTGAGCTTGCTATATTGTTCTGAAATAGTGAAAATATGTGAATTTTCTTTATACATCTTCTTGCAAATGTGGCCAAATGAGACTTAACTTTTTAATATAAAATTTTTTAGTTTAAAAAATTTTTGTTCTAAAAAACTACTTTAAGAAATAGTAAAAAAAATCCGTCCCAAACGAAGTCTTAATAGTAGTACTACCTACAGCAGGACCTTGTCACCATCAGCGAAAATCCTAATTACCAGTCAAAGTTAGACTTTGTTCCAAGATAAAACATTTTTTTATCTTGATACAGAATAAGGGCTCCGCTTGGATTGAGAGAAATTAAAGGAGTTGAAATGTGGTGGAAGTAATTTATGTATTGATTATGAATTGTTTTGAGGCTTTTAACTTCTTTCTCATTTCAGTGAAAGCCTTACAACTCAGATAGAGCTTAAGTTCATTTTTCTGTTGCATATGTAAGAAAACCTTTTTTTTTCGGCCTCAGGACTCTCAAGTACTATAAAAATTCATATCGGGAAGAGCCAAATCATCAGTAGAGCACTATTGATTCATATGACCAAGGTTTTCATCTTGGTTTTGGCTTCACGCTCATCGGTGGAGTTTTGCTTTCATCTGTCTCGATGTTCAGTCTCTTTTTTTATTTTTTAATTTTTAAAATGTTTGAAATGCTATTTTACCATTTTTTTTTTAAATGCTATTTTACCATAATTTAATAGTTTGATAAACTTTAAAATTATCATGCAATATTTTTTTAATGAGTTTTTAGCTGAATTTTTGTGACTTTCATCGAGTTTTGGTGGTTTCAGTCAAGTTTTGGTTTAAAGGTTGTTTTGCTGTTTTTGTATGGTAAATTAAAATTGACAAAAAATAAAAATTATAGACCATCTTGAACTAAAAACCTATCAATTTTGACAATTTTGGACAAGATAATAATGTTTCTGTATTAAATTTCTTCAACTAATAAGGAAAAAACATAGAAATGTGCAAAACTAGTTTTTTGAACTTTATTAAAACTAGTATATCAAGAACCCATCAAGAGGGGACAACTATGAAGTGATATTCGAGTGAAGTGTTACTAAGGATGCATACACTCCATCCTTGATGTTGATAAGGGCATCATGTTTACCTTTTTCTACAATCAACCCATTTTTTATCACTGCAATGAGATCTGCACTTTTGATTGTACTGAGTCGATGGGCAATAACAATTGTGGTTCTATTAACCATCACTTTCTCTAATGCAGTTTGGACGATTCGTTCTGATGCTGAATCTAAGGCACTAGTTGCCTCATCTAGGAGCAGAATCTTAGGCTTCTTCACTATGGCTCTTGCGATTGCCACCCTTTGTTTTTGTCCACCAGATAGTTGGATGCCTCGTTCGCCCACTATTGTTTCATATCCCTATAATGATTTTATCAAGATTAGAATTTGAGAATCATAATGATGGAAAATGTGAGTGGCTGATCAAACTGCACAACATTAGCTCTATCATAAAGTGTTTAAAAAGTTAAACCTGTTGAACCTGGACTGACAATAATGTTGTAAAGGTAGCCTACTTGACCTGTTCCATTTAGCCTAGTGCCCATGACTTCTTAGGATGCTTATGCTTATCTTATGGAATGTCATCAAGGCTAGAAAACGTTCAAAGACAATAGGTGTAATGCGTCTATGAAAAATGACACAAGCAGCATAAAGCTAGGGGATTCTTTGTTGATATGTTGTTTTCAAATTCATTCTTTGACATTTAAACTCTAGTGCTCACTTGCTTTTAAAAAAATATAATTTATAATATCAATGATTTTTGAAAGAAAATTATAGTCTCATTAGTTGTGCATGGTCCAAGATTGTTCATGGTTGTAGATAGGAAATTTGAGCTTTTTGTTTTGTATAGTAATAAACAGAGAGATAATCCTTAATTTTTTATTAAAATATGGTGATCATCTGCAGAATCAATCTATATTTTTTCCTGACTACGAGTGAACTAGTAATGCATTATTTATTTTTTCTCACGCCTGCTTTGACATAGTGAGAATTGATCTTTCTCATTTAGTTTTTACTATCATCTCCTTTTTCAAATTAGACCTTTTGGTGCGCATATGTTAGTGTAAATGTTTTCTAGCTCTAGGATTGATGTTGGCCAATGTGTTATTCTTTTTCCCCAAAGATAATGTTCACACTGATTCTTCTTGTGATCTCTTAAATTGTCACATTTTTTGTGCTTATGTTTATCATTTAAAAATAGATTGATAACAAAAAATTTGTGAGTTGTTTTGTAAATAGTTGCTTTAACGTATGTTTTTGAAGATGAGAAACCATAAATGCTATCATTAAACTGATCAACATGGATCTTTATTAGAAGAACTTCATTAAATAAATGAACACTCAAACCTGATTTAAACTTGATATGAAATTGTGGGCATTCGCTAACTCAGCAGCAGCTACAATCTCAACCTCGCTGACCGTATCTTCTTTTCCGTAGGCAATGTTGGAGCGGATAGTGTTATTAAACAATATAGGTTCTTGACTCACTAATCCCATTTGTTTCCTCAACCAATTCAACTGGAACTTTCGTAGCTCTACGCCATCCAAGAGTATATGTCCTGAATCAGGATCATAAAACCTTTGTAGTAGTGATATTACTGTCGATTTTCCACTTCCACTCTCCCCTGTAAATGCAATAGTCTGCAAGTATCTGGTTAGTGTTATTATCTTTTGTCATCGTAATTAAAATTTGTTTTAACTGGTGCATCATATTACCTTTCCAGATGCAATGGCAAAGCAAATATCTTGAAAAATTTGGACATTGGGTCTTGAGGGATACTTGAAACTAACATGGCAAAACTCAATATTTCCCTCAATCTTATTTAAGGTCATCCCAGTTTCATCGCTTGGATCTATTTGAGATTTACGATCAAGAATTGAAAAAAGAGAATCCGTGACTAGTTTAGCTTTGCTGGAATCAGGTACATTAGAGCTTGACTGAGAAATTTCAAGGGCTGCCACGATTATGGCTGCAAATGCCTGAAAAAAAATCGAAATATGAATTGATAATGACATGTAACTTGCATTGTATTGGTATAAGAATCATGAACTAGGTATCTTCTTAATCTTTAAATCATGCACTAATGCAAACCCAAGAATATGGTACAAGCAGTTTCTGTGATCTCATGGATAGCAATAATACTAATGTGATTGAAGTAATCTAAATAGTTTAGTTATTATTAAAATCAGAGAATTGGAGAGGAAAAATACTTATTTTTATTGCACAAAGTTTTCCCTATTTATAGATCTATACAAGATATCTTAGTAAAGAAACAAATAATTACAAAATATTGCATAATTGCCCTAATATAATCCTTCCTAGATCAGCCACCAAAATCTAAAAGGAGATTGGTGTGATCCAGGCGAGCCTCCCACAAATCTCCATGTTGGCCATGGGATTAAGGGTCAAGGGATGGCTAGGATTTAACACTCTCTCAAGCTGGGGAATACAGATCTATCATTCTTAGCTTGATAATTAGTCCAAGAAAGAAAGCTATCAAGTCCATTGGTAAGAATGTCTGCAAGCTGCTCTTTTGATGAGACATGATAAATACAGATAAGTCCACCATCCAATTTCTCCTTTATGAAATGTTTATTCACTTCTATGTGCTTGGTTCTATCATGCTGAACTGGTATTATAATCTATGCTGATTGTTGATTTGTTGTCACAGTGCAGCTTCATGAGTTCTTTCCACTTGATCTTTAAGTCTTCTAGAATCATTTTGATCTATAATAGCTCACATATACCTAAGGCCATAGCTCTAAATTATGCCTTTGCACTAGACCTTGCCACCACATTCTATTTCTTGCTTCTCCAAGGAACTAGGTTTTCTCCAAGGAGTGTGCAATACCTAAGGTAGATCATCTATTTACTGGTGATCTTGCGTAATCTGCATCAGTTTAAGCTTCTGGGGTTATTCCGCTTTCTCTTCCCAAAGAGAATCCCTTTTCTTGGATTTCCCTTGAGGTAGTGCAATATTATGTTTACTGCTTGCATATGAGTCTGCTTTGGATTCTCCATGAATTGACTAACCATGCTTACAACAAAGGTTATATCTAGTATGGTGTGAGAAGGTAGATCAATTTCTTCACAAGTCTCTAGTAAGCTCCCTTATCTATGTATGCATCCTTTTTAGCTTCGCCCAATTTGAGATTTGATTTTACTAGCGTTAGTGTCGGTTTACAAGCTAGTTTACCTATTTCTTTAAGAATATCAATGTATATTTGTTGTGAAATGAAGATTCCTCTGCTGGAGTGGGCCACTTCAATTCTGGGAAATATTTCAATCTACCAAGTGGTGTTTGATCTCAAATTTCTTGGCAAGAAATTTTCTTAAAATAACTTTCTCCTTTTCATCATTCCCAATCAAGATGATATCATCCATATAGACTAACAAAACTGAAGCTCCCCCTGAGTCTGAGTGCTTGAAGATAGTGTGTGGTCTCCTTAGCTCTGTCGATATCCATTAAGTAGCGTGACATTTGAGAATATTTCAAATCAAGCTCTAGGTGACTATTTTAATCAATATAAGCCTTCTTTAACCCACACACCTAGTCACCCCGAGAATTCTCCTTAAATCTTGGTGGAATCTCCGTAAATATTTTTTTCTTCAAGTCCACGTGTAGGAATGCATTTTTAACATCCAGTTGTTCCAGATGCCAATTATAATTAGCTGTCAGGGAAAGCAATATCCTAATAGTGTTCATCTTGGCCACATCTGCAAAAGTTTTCTGGTAGTCAATGTCATACATTTGAGGTTTAGAATTCAGAGTAAAAAGAGGACAAAATATCCATTGGTATTTTTAGTCTCGAAGTTTTTGAAGGTAGTTAGTTTATAAGATATTTGATAATCAAAAGGGCTTCCCCCTGTAGGATTTGAGTACATTGTGGTGGAATAGAAGTGTACGAGTGAAAGCAAGGTGGCTATTTCTTCTTTCTGCAACTCTGTTTTGTTGTGAGATATAAATGTAGGAAGACTTATGAATGATACACTCCTTTTGAAAATATGAGAATAAGGTTTGGTTAAAAGAATCTTTGGTATTGTTGGAACAAAATTTCTTATTTTCGCCCCTAATTGATTATGGTTCATGGTGTGAAAAATGGGAGGATAATGATAACATTGGATTTGTTTTTGAGGAGAAAGATCCAAAAGACTCGAGTGTAGTCATCAATAAAGGATACATACCATCAGGCCCCTGAAATGTTAGAGATTTTTTAGGGTCCCCATATATTATAATGAATAAGGTATAAGGGAGTATAGCATCTCTCTTTTTTGTTAAGAAAATAAACTCGTTTATGCTTGGCTAACTCACAAGTTTCATAATGAAGTATTTATTTTTCAACTAAGATGGATGTCCTAATCTAGAATGATGAAGCTAAATAGTAATTTTTTTTTAAATACGGATAACAGAGATTAACCATTATGTATAATAGTGGATTTGTTCAGCACTTCCAGGTAGTATAATCCATCTTTCATCTTAGCAATCCAATCTTCTTCCCCGATCTCTGGTCCTAAAATAAAAAACAAGTATGGTTAAATAGAACCTTGTCAATTATGGTCACTAATAAGTTTTTGTATGGAAATTATGTTTGTGAATAATTGAGCTACGTAGAGCACATTTTTTAGAGTGAGAGAGAGAAGGGTATGTCTCCTTAGGCTGTTGTTGTGGTAAGAAAATTATTAGCAGTGATGATTTTCTTATCACTCGGGCAAGGAGTGTAGTTGATGAAGTGGGTAATGGAGTATGTCTTATGATTTGTGGCTCCTAAGTCAATGATCCATAAATCTTTCAAATGATTTCTAGAAACATTTAATCCGATGGATACAGGAAACTTACTTGAAAGTGTAAGATAAAAAGATACATGTGATTTTCAAGGGATATCGGGAGTTGTTTTAACTTATCAATATCTTCTTTGTTGAGCTCCCTGAAGTTGAACTATATTTCTAGGTTGGGCTAACTTATTGTAGTGTTAGCTTATAATATACTCTTTTGTCCACTTCTTTGATTTCACTCATTGCTTGGGGGATTTCCATATAACTTCCACCAAATCTCTTTTGTATGTCTTGATTTCTTGCAATAGGTCTTTAGATTTTGAGAATTCCTTACCTCTTTTCTTCCATTGCTCCTCTTTGGTTGTCACCATGGTTGAATCTTCAACAGCTTTTAGTTCCAACATTATCCCTCGTCGACTTTCCCTAACCTGAATGTGAGAAATAGTCTCATTTAGTGAAGATGTCTTCTCTTTGCCAAGGATTTGAACTCTAACATGGTCAAACTTTGCGTTTAATCCTACGAGAAAGTCATACAATTTATCTTTCTCAAAAAAAACTTTTTACATCTTCTGGACACTTGGTCTCTATGCATATGTAGTGATCAAGTTCTTGCCATAAGCCTTGAAGGAGAGTGACATATTCAGTGATGGTCTCGCTTATTTTACGCTTCACACCTTGATCTTTATTTTGAAGACTTAAACAACATCCCAAATTTTTAGAAGGTTTTTCTGGCGGCATCTCTTATCTTTTGCATTATATAGGAATAGTATCACTAATTTTTATAGTCATGGAATTTGACAACCTCATAATCATGGAGTCTGTTTCATCTCATCCCCAAAAAGTATGATCTCTTTCTTTTAGTCCTACCCCAAGGAGGTGAATCACATTTTCTTTCCTTTTCAAGTTGGTATTCACAAATTGAGACCACTTTAAGTAATTCTTCACATTTAAGTGGTAAGAAGGTTGCATATTTTGGAGGTCTCCTCTTGTTGCACCATAGTGTCCTCCATTTGGTCAAAAGCTTTGGAGGAATTAGTTTCATACACTACGACGGAAAAAAATAGCGATGAAGGTTGCGTTCGTTATAAATAAGATAGCAAGTAGTAACAACAAAGGAAGGATGTGTCACGACCCGGCCCGGATGCTCGACTTAATGAGGCGGGAACTAAAAGTCGGACGGTATTAACGTTCCATTCTTTTCAATGATCACATTAACATAAAATCTCTCAAAGTAACTGAAGAGACATAATAACAAAGATATTCCATGTAATTTGACAATTTCATTCATATATATTTTGGCTAACTTTTCCACTTGACCCATCTACTTAATTGATAAGAAATGAGGTGACTTGGTTAATCTATCTATAACAACCCATATTGCATCTCGACTCTGCCTTGACCTGAGTAATCTAATTACAAAATTGATTGCAATGTCTTCCCATTTCCACTCAAGCATAGGTAAAGGTTGTAGTTGACCTCTTGACTTTTGATGTTCTATTGTAATCATCTGGTAGTGAGTACATTTTGCCACAAATTTTGCAACATTCCTTTTTAATCTTGGCCACCAAAACAACGCTCTCATTTCCTGATACATCTTTGTATTGCTTGGATAAATTTCATAAGTTGAGAGATGAGTTTCCTGCAATATATATTCTCTTAAATTTCCAAAATTTGGAATATAGATACTGCCTTTATACTTTAGTAATCCTTCTCCATCAACTTCAAAGTTTTCTAACTACCTTGCTTGCACTTTCCTTTTGATGTTTAGAAATTTTTCATCTTGAGACAATGAATTGAGCACTCTATCATTTAAAGTAGATTGGATTACCAGCTAATTCAATATCATATCTTTTGTATTTTTTTGATTGACCACTCACAGCTCTAGTCTTTCTATGTTTTTAATTATCTATTCCTACTAGGTGATTAGCCAATTTGCAAGGCCCAAAAAACTTCTCACTTCTGAAGCTATTGTTGGCCTTGGCCATTCAACAATGGCTTGAATTTTATTCTTATCACAAAAATTTCTTCACCACTAATCACATGCCCAAGGAAATTTACACTATTCAACCAAAATTCATACTTTGAAAAGTTGGCATACAACTTATTCACCTTGCAGATGACTGGAATGACTTTCTTCATCTATTGAATAAATTAAGATATCATCTATAAACATAATTACAAAAATGTCCAGGAATGGCTCAAAAATTATGTTCATTAAATCTATAAATACAGCTAGTGCATTTATCACTCCAAATGGTATTCCGACAAACTCATAGTGATCATATCTGATTTTAAAACCTGTTTTTGTTATATCTTCCTCCTTAATGTGTAACTAATAGCATCCAGATCGCAAATCAATTTTAGAGAAAACTGTAGCTCCGTCCAGTTGGTCAAAAAGATAATCAATTCTGGGCAAAGGATATTTATTCTTAACAGTAAGTTTATTCAGTTCTTTGTAATCTATGCACATTCTGAAGCTCTCATCTTTCTTTTTTACAAATAGTATTGGAGCTCCTCATGGTGAGGAACTTGGCCTGATAAATTCTTTATCTAGCAATTCCTGTAATTGACTTTTAATCTCTTGTAACTCCTTGACTGTCATTCTATAAGGTGCTCTTGCCACTGGTTCTGAATTTGATATCAACTCAATAGTGAAATCTATTTCTCTTTCTAGTGATAATCCTGGCAAATCATCTAAAAATATCTCTGGATATTCTTTGATTACAGGTATATCTTTCAAGTCTTTAAGTTCCTTATTTGTATCCTTTACTTGAGTAAAAAAATTGTCATCATTTGGATACAAATTTGGAAGTTTTCATATAAGTGATGATCATCGAAGCAATTCCTCTATCTCCATAAAATTTACATTATCTTACTCCAGGAAAATTAAATTTGACAATTTTCTTATTGCATTCTATTATCACAAAATGATTTGATAACCAATCCATTCCCTATATCATATCAAATTCTTTCAATGGTATGACATTCACTGTTGCTTCAAACTCTTTCATTTATTTTGAAAATCAATTGATATGTGCTATTAACATTCATTATGGATCCATTTGGCATTAAAACTTCTAAAATTATAGATAATTGATAAACATTTAATTCAACTGATTTTACAAATGCATCTGAAATGAAGGAGTGTGAAGCTCCTATATGAAAAAGAATTTTCACAAGCTTTCCCTGAATCGTTACCACACCTTTAAAAATTACATAAAAAATATAAACATACATCATTCTTTTAATAATATTTTCATAATACACATTTATTCATTTTTTATTTTTATCATCTGTAATCACTTCAGGTGAATCCTTAGTATCCTTCTGAGTCAGTGCATATACTCTAGGCAGAGTATTCTGTCGGCCTTGACTTGGTCCTGGAATAGAAGCAGTTGATTCTACTGTTCTTGGTCTTATTATTATAGTAATAATGTAGCTTTCTCTAAACTAATTGCATTGAATTTATTGATTCTTATTTAATATTTAGATTTATAAAATTCAAGAAATAGTTACCCTTTTTCTAATTCAATGAATGATCATAGTGATGAGGACATCGATCCAAAGTCCAAACATGTGCATCACCGATCGATGGCCATGATTCAGAGCTTATTTGGGCTCACGAGTCGAGCTTCTCGATCTCATGAGTCGAGCTTGAGCTCGTTTATTAGACAAGATTGAGTTCGAGCTTGATAAGGCTCGGCTCGTGAACCGACTTGAATAATTATTAATAATTTTTAAATAATTTTATTTTATTTATTAAATTTAAATATTTTAAAAAATTAATAATAAATGCTAAATAGATTTATTAAATTTAATTATTTTTAAATCCCGCCTAAATTTTAAAATCTCGCCGAGATTCGCGAGCCAACTCGAGCTCGTTTATAGTGGGATGAACTTGAGCTCGAGTTGGAGCCAACTTTTTGACCGACAAGCCGAGCTCGATAAAGCCACTACTCGACTCGACTCGTTTACTCCCCTAAATGATCATATCAAAATTAGTGATAATTGATTTGATATTTTTCAATGCATCAAACAATCAGATTCCACCAAGTTTGACAAGAAATGAATCTTTCAAGTTCAAGAACTATTTTCGAAGGCAACAACCTCAGATATCGCTATGAAAGTTTGAAGTGAAGGGAGGCAAATCCTTGGATAGGACTAGGAGTTTCAATATTTGACAAGTCTTGAAAATCGAACCCAATAATTCTGGTTTCGGATCAACTCACTTGAAAAATGGGTTGGGTTCGAGTCAACCCGAAAACCCAAAATCAACCTGAAAGCAACCCGCCAACCCGCACACATCCTCTGTCGTGCACTCACGCTAACCCAAACAACTGAACAGACACACTCACTTGTTGGCCTTGCTTAAAAGCCTGTGGCCCCCCACTCGGTCACCCTAACAGGGGCAACGAGTCATGTCGGGTTGACTCAGATTTGAACCAGGTTTGGTTCTTTGACACGTTTCCCTAATCGGTTAGGATTGAGATAGTTGATGGCAGGTCTTTTTTTAGGTTGGACCCGAACCCGATCTGAAAACCCATTTTGACACTCCTAGATAGGACTGTAAAAGCTCTAGTAATTACTATGTTGTATTATGATTTAATAATAATAATAATAATAATAATAAAAGTCTAGGTTTTGTGATTTTCTTGCAATTTTTTAGATAAAAATTTTCTCTGTTGTTGTTTCACTTTTTTAGTTCTATTTCTTATTTTTCTTTGTTAAATGATTAAAATTGTTACTTTATTACATTAAATAAAAGTTAAGGATTCTATACGGATTTTGCCAATTAGATTTAAGAAAATCAACACATACATGCAATTTTCTTATTATGCGTAGCAGCTAATATCAATAACAAACTTGCTTCAATTTCAATCATCAACAATTAAAGCATATCAATCAAAATATATTGTTTATCTAAGGGCGAGGTATTACCTGAAATATTTTGTCAAACGTTATGTTATCATGACCAACTAGGCGAGATCCAGCATAAAAGATGGCGGCATAAACACAAAACACTAATAGGTAGGAAATCCCACACGCAATTCCGCTAAGTACTCCTTTTCTGATTCCTTCTTTAACGGGACCTTGACATTTTTTCTTATACAGCTCCATTACCTTCTCTTCAGCTGAGAATGAAGCAATCGTTCTCATGCTTCCCAATGCATCATTTGCTACTTGACTTGCTTCCTGATACTTCTTCTGCAGTAGTTTTGCAATATAAAATGAGATCAGTATCTAAAAAAATGATCCTTTTTGTTTTAATTTGCTTCAAATGTGATAGAAATACGATAACATTTAACAGAGATGTTGAACCAAACCTCTGCACTAGCACTGAATCCTGTGTTATACTTCATTCGAACAATTCCATTGAGATATATTATGGGCACTAATGGCAAGATAAGAAGTGAGAGTTGCCAAGTTGCGACGAAGGCAACTACCAAGCTACAAACTAAGGTGGAAATATTCTGAACAAGTAGTGCTAGTGCATCACCAACAAGGCTTCTTAAAGTAGCGGCATCTGTTGAAAGTCTTGCACTTATTGTCCCGCTGGAGTTTTCAATTTGATCAAACCATGCTATCTCCATGTTGACCACCTTCTGAAACGTCATCAATCTAATCCTTCTAATCAACTTTGCCCCAGCAATCGCAAACAAGTACGATCTTATTGGAATTGCCAACAGACCAACTGTACCAAATACCAAGTACATAGATGACCAAAATATAGAATCTGTCTCAAGCTTATGTCGTGGCTCGTACAAGGTCCTTACCATAGTAGATATTAGTATTGCATAAGCCGGGTAAATAACCCCATTGAAAAATGCCGCTACTGAACCAAGAAACAAAATCAGGGCCTCTGGCTTGTTAAGATATGCTAGGCGGCGTATGGATACTGATTTATACTTTTTGGATGGAAAATCAGCTTTTGGTTCCCCCGATGGACTCTCATGGCAGTTGACTGCGACAGGCAAAACAGACTCCTCACAGATTATGCGGCCACTCACGTACCTCAAAGATGATCCCCTTCTAATGGATCGTTCCAGCGAACTATTTCGGCTCAAAGATGATGCTTCTATGGCTGGTAGAATAGCTTCTACCTGATGAGCGTGTGATGATTGATTCAAACTTTGGTCCATTTCTTGTAATTCTTGCAACTGAATGAGTTGACTGTAAGCTCCCATTGGGTTCTTTTGTAGCTCTATGTGAGAACCTAAGCAAAATAACATCAATACTTAGTAGCTTTTGGATTTTGGATGAAGAAATAGACTTTTCCTAATGACTGCAAACAAGGTCATAACAATCCTAGTTCTTCTACCATTTAAAAAGCTTGGTTATTTTGTCAAGTAAAAGAACTAAAAATAAGCCAATTGTGAATACTCAGAGGTTAGCACAATAGTACCTTTTTCGATAATTGAACCTTGGTGCATAACAGCAATGGTATCTGCATTTCTTACAGTGCTAAGGCGATGAGCAATTATAACAGTGGTGTGATTTATCATGACTCTATCTAATGCCTCTTGCACAACTTGCTCTGATTCTACATCTAGTGCACTTGTGGCTTCATCTAGAAGTAATATTCTTGGGTCTTTCAAGATAGCTCGAGCAATGGAGATCCTTTGCTTTTGACCTCCTGATAGTTGAGTACCTTGCTCTCCAACCATGGTATCCAGTCCCTGAGAAGAATGAGCTACTCCTGTTACAACCTATTTAGTTTATTTGAACAAACTTGCACGTATTTCTAATAAAACAATTCATCAGGAAGTTCAGAACAACCTGAGGCATCATATTGATGAATTTTGAAGCATTAGCTAGTTCAGTTGCAGCTTTGATCTCTTCAATTGTTGCATTGTTTTTGCCATAGGTGATATTATCTCCTATGGTTGAGCCAAAGAGGATAGGCTCCTGGCTAACCAATCCAATTTTCTCTCTGAGCCATCTTAGTTGGAATTGTTTAATATTTATGCCATCAATGAGAACCACACCATCTTGTGGATCATAAAACCGTTCTATTAGGCTGATCACTGTTGATTTCCCGCTTCCACTCCCTCCAACCAATGCTACTGTTGTGCCGTGCTGAATGAAAAGTGATAATCCAGTGAATATTTTCTGTTCTGGTCTGGAAGGATAGCTAAAATGAACATCTTTAAACTCTATGCTCCCGAGGATAACATCCAATGTTTTTCCTGTTGGGTCAGTAGCGTCAATCTCTGGCTTTCTATTGATAGTCTCAAACATCTTATAAGCCGCAGCTTGTCCTGCAGCAAATGCTGCCATGCACGGGGATATATGAGCCAATGAGCTGAAAGAATAGCAAGTCATTAGTTAGTCACGCTGCTTACTAAGCCAAGTTACCAAATGAGAGCACTAACTCAACGACAATGCAAAATTCATTCAAAATTGCAAAATATCTTATGGACTTATATGTTACTGATGCAGACATCAGATCCTGATCTTTCTTTTGAAAACTTGGCCGACGTCGATCGCGCCGATCTACTTTCTAGTCTTCATATGTATTTGTTTTATTTATTTGCTTTATGTATTTGTTTTAGTAGCTTTTCCCGTTTTTCCCTTACTTAAGGGCTTTGTCGTATGTATGCCATAGGGGTAATGTTGTCTTTATTTCCCTTTCATTGTAGGAGGCTATATATATGCCCCATATGATGTGGAACATTATAGCTAATAGTCCTCCTTAGGAATAGCTTACTTAGTTTGTTACAAGTTTCTCTAGAATATTCTATAGATAGGTTATATATGTATGCATTGTAGTAGGGAAAAGGTCATTGAATGATATTATCCCTTTGTTAAAGCTTTGGAAAGCTTCTTCTTCTTCTTCCCTGGATTGGGAAAATCCAAATCCTTCTTGCAGGTCGCATCTTTCGACGATCCACTACATCAGTTGGTATCAGAGTCTGGAGCTTGTGAAGATCGATAGACTGCGGAAGAAGGTCGGCTGTCGACGATGATCGAAGCCGCAAAACAAGATTGGCGGTCAACGACGATCGATGCAAAGGAAGGTGGGCTGTCGACGATGCTCGAAGCCGGATCGCCTTCTATTAAGCTCAATCGAAGAAGTCGCTCGATCAGGTAGATAGAAACCTTGATCGGATTCGCTAAACCCTTCGGGCAATAAGGACTTAAGGAGGATGAGGATGTCGTCGGCAACCATACCGAGGCATTCTTCTTCTTCGCTATCCTCGTCTGCTCCTCGCAAACGCTATCAATCTCGCCATTCTTCCACCGTCATTGACGACTACCCCCCGCTCGAGCTTCCGCTCAAATGGCGTGATCCCCCTCCGCTTCAATGCCGGATCCGTGTTCCCAAACCTCCTCCGCTTTCGCCTGACCTGACCAACGCCAAACCGACTCCGTTCGAACATCCCCTTCCGCTTCAATGCCGGATCCGTGTTCCCAAACCTCCTCCGCTTCCGCCTGACCTGACCAACGCCAAACCGACTCCGTTCGAACCGCCTCCGCTTCAGCTCAAGACGACGCCCCCAAAAAGAGCCCTCTCAACAGATCCGAAGCCGTTTCAACAAAGCTCTTATGCCGTCGAACAAGTCTTTAGTATGTATGGACTCCCAAGCCTGCCTCAGGATGGCATTCCCACCTCCGGCTTACTCCACTCTTCGATCCAGGCGTGCGACCAAGCCCAACCCACCGGCCTCCAATACCCCCAAACGCAACGACCTGCCGCCGCTCCGTCGTCGCCAACAACTGCCGATCAGACCCCCGCCGACCAGCTTCCCGTAACCCCAACCGCCAACCAGCTTCCCGCACCCCCAACCGCCGACCAGGCTCCGCACCCCCAGCGCCGGTATCTGGCGACTCCGCTCCTTGGCAGCGCCTGTCTGGCGATCTCGCTCCAGGTAGCGATTCCGACAGAGGAGTTGAGTCCTATCTCTCACGCCCTGAGTCCTATCTTGCCGCCACTTCATTTCACGCTCAGATCACGGAGAATGACTCTGTCGCTTCACATGAAGAAATTGATGTTGAGCAAGCTGCCGCAAGACCAGAAGAAGATGTCGTGAATGATGAGGAATCTTATGATCTTTCAGAACCTGTGGAAGCTTCAACTGTTGAAGATGAAGATCCGGTAGAGGAGGTGAGTAAAGAAGTTCAAAATGATTTTCATGCTGTGGTAACTGTTCCGGGTTTTTCAAATGAACAAGAACACAAGAAATCCTTTGTTTCTTTTGTGATGGTGATGAAAGAGAGCAATACACCTATATCAATTCCTACATCAGCTCCTGCAAGGGTGACGCCATTCAACACAAGGAGATCGCCATTTGATCGTGGAGAAGCCACAGCAATGGCGGAAAAATCAGATTATAGAAATGGGGATGTTGAGTTAAATAATAACTACATTGTTACTGCATGTGTAGAAATCCCATGTATAAATTCTATTGAAAAAATTAATTCAGTGCCATACATCCAAGCTGTTCGACGAAATGTCAATAAGGGCTGGGATCTCAAATTTGAACTGTCAGGCTCTACTTACGGGAGCAAGGAAAATGGGAAACTTATATTTTATGGCCCCACTGCCACTATTGAGGAGCAAGGAATCAAGGAGCTCGACATGAGGCCGTGCGTTATTTCTTCCCTCCTCCATTTTACTGATCTCAAGGGCAGTGATAATGAGCTTGTTATGCAGTGGTTAAGAAAGCCATCAATTGAGCATTCTGTAGTTGAATTGTACAGAAACAATTCTACTCTATCTATAAGGGGGCATGGTGGTAAGGAAAAGACAACTCTCTTGCAGTATGTCTACAAAGATGAAGAGGAGGAACAAAACAAAACTAAAGGGGAGAATGTGCTCGCCTCACTATCTTATGGAATTTGGAAAAGTGATCTTTCTTTTGCCGTTGATTTCAGGAGGGATCGGTTGTATGCCAAAAACTCATATCCACCACCCAATTGGCAAATTGAAATGCTTTTTCAATTCAAGGATCCCAAGGTTGAACCTCCTCACTTAGATTGGGGAAAGCCTCTTCATGTAGTAATTTTAAAGTCCACATTCAAAGTCTTCGATCCACGAATTGTTTGCCACCCTACCTCCCTTCTAATTAACGAGCCTCGAACGGAGTCGAGCTCTTTTTACGCAAGGGGAGAATGATGTGGAACATTATAGCTAATAGTCCTCCTTAGGAATAGCTTACTTAGTTTGTTACAAGTTTCTCTAGAATATTCTATGGATAGGTTATATATGTATGCATTGTAGTAGGGAAAAGGTCATTGAATGATATAATCCATTTGTTAAAGCTTTGGAAAGCTTCTTCTTCTTCTTCCCTGGATTGGGAAAATCCAAATCCTTCTTGCAGGTCGCATCTTCCGACGATCCACTACATCACCATATATTTCTTTTGAGATGAATGAATGATTATTACAAAAAATTTTCCTACAAACATGTGTTTTGTGAGAGCTTGAGAATTGTGGAGAGCAATCCCTAGGAGAGGGAAGCGGATCACCCACCAACCTCAGAGAAGTCCGGGTTCGTGGTTAGTTTCTTTCTTGCCTTCCTCCCCTTTTCCCCCTCCCTTCCTTAGCACCCACGGTTTCCCTTCAAAGCCCCATCGCCGGCCACCTTCATAACCCCATCGCCGGCCACCCAAAGGCCCACCATCCCCACCGTCAGCCACCCTCCCCACCACCACCACAAACCACCGGCCCTCCCTTACCCATCCAACCGCCGGCCCCCCATCCTTTCCTTTTCAAGATTATTTCCTAAAGCTTCACTTTCCTTATTTAACTCAACCTATCTTTGGAGGGAATTTGAATTGAAATAAGTCAAATTTAATTCTCAATTCTTTCCTATTTCCTTAATCTTATTTTTGGAAAGGTCCTTAATTAAATCAATTAATTCAAATCTGAATTAATTGATTAGAATCCTTTATATTTCATTAATCCTATTTTTGGAAAGGTCTTCAATCAAACCAATTAATTCAAATCTGAATTAATTGAATATTTAATACCTTAAATTCAAATACATTGAATCTAGACACATGCCCCCTTCCTCTCTCCACATTAATTCCCCACCCAGCCCTAAGAACCCAAAGCCAAATATCATCTCCCCTTACCTTGGCCGCCCCTATCCCTTGCTTTCTGCAATTTCTCGTCAGTGATCCCAGTAAGGTTAGCTTGCTTCCAGGTGATTCCAGAAGACTGTGTGCGATTGTCCAAGGCATCCCGTAGTGCATAGTTGCTGTCCGACCTTCCCAGGACTTTGTTAAACTGCTGTCAAGCAGATCCCTGTACTTCCACACCTGTTGTCCAGCCCCAGAACTCACCCTATCGCTGTCCAGATTTTTTTCCGGTTGCTGTTTGGAGTTTCCAGCACCTAAAACCTGCTGTCCAAAAGTCTTCAACCCAAAGGATCTAGTCATACCATTGCCTAATTCCCCAAAGTGCTGTCCAGAATTTTCCCACAGCAAAATACCTTGATGTCCAGAAATTTATTGCACGCTACATTTCTGTTCAGACATCCGGAATCAATCCAGAACTGTTGCAGGCTCGTTCTAAAGGTGCAAGTTGCTTTCCTCTCTTCATTGGCCCCAAACAACATCACCAAAGCCTAGTATTTTCTTACCTTGGTGAACTCTTCCTCCAAGTCATATATCTTCTTAGTCGCTTATCAATTGTGGTTTTATTATATTCATGAAGAGTGTTAATGCTCTCCCGCTAAAACTTAGTAATTGAAAAGTTGAGCGAGGGACCTTTCTTAGTAACTAATCTTATTGTTAGTATAATAATTTTTTATGAAAACCTTCCATGTATGCAATGTTTTGAGTAATTAATTATTTTAGGATCTTAACCTCTATGAATGTGATTTGGCCTAAGTTTGTTTTATCTCCTTATTGTTTTGTCTTTACTATTGTTTTCTAAAATTTAAGAGTGCAAAATCCTACATCAAGTATCATCTAAGCATTATAGTCTTGCATCAGTTATTGTACCTTCTGTATGTTAAATATGACTGTTCCTATTCGTACATGATAATTTGTCTAAATATGCATGCTTACATTTCTTAATAGAAGTTATAATAGTTTGCTGAAAAGAACACTCTTACATTCTAATAAAAGAAGTATGGAAAAAGTATGATAGGAAATACTTGATTTCAAGTAGTTCCTAACCCAAAACTGAAGCCGAACAAGGAGAAAAACTGCTGTCTCCAACAGTGGACAGCAACTATGCGCAGGAAAAACAGTGAATATTGCGAGAATATTGGGAGACAACGCAAGCAAAGACTTGTATTTTTACTAGTAGACGAAACAAATAGCAAGATACAATTTGTTCTTCAATTCGAGAGGAAGAACGTACTCTCCAAAGTCTCCGGCGAAGCCAAGAGCCCAAGACAAAACCTAGATCTCAAAGAGAAAACTCAAATTCAAGATAAGCAGCCAATCCCCCCAAAACTCCTAATTATACAAAATAATCATAAAGGACAATAATGGACTTCCTAAAACAGCCTCCCATTCAAAAATTTTCCCTCCCCCATGCGTTTTAGCCGCTGTTTGGGCCCCCCGACACGCGCTCCGCGCGTTCCGTCTGGTTCCGCCTGACGTTGGTTCGTCGGGTGTAGAACCGGACCGGTCCAGCTGGGACCGGTCCAGGCGTAACAAAGTACTGTATAATGAAAGGCATGGAAAAAAGACCCATTTCTAGTCCCTCCACATCACCAGTTGGAATTAGTATGAAATGCTCTAGAATAGAAGAGCAGATAGTTTCTACTTCCTCAAGAATCCTTCATGAAAACTGGCATTCGGGAAGTTAGTACCGGTGCAATAATACCCACCAGAAGTTAACCATGAAAAATCAATATCACCAGGAGATAAATTGCTAAAGCCTGTTCTTAACATGTAGTGACCAAGTGAAACATTACCTCCACTAGCAAAATAGTAATTGCTAGGTGAACAAGTTTATGCATGCTCATGACACTAATTGCATCCAATTCATTGAAAAGTATAGTCAAAACCTTGCTTTCATGTATGAAAACGTGCCCTTTTCATGCCGGTTTAGAAGTTACATTGTTTGAATGTTTTCCGTATTTATGCTTGTATTTCTGTTCTTCTGAATATAAATGGAAAAAATTACAACGTGTTAGTTACTCACGAGGAACCATACAAGACCGATAATATAATGGAAATAACTTTTCCACCATTGTAGCCTCCTTGCAGTATCAGTTTTGCTCCATACCAAAAGCCCAAAGAAAGTGCACAGTAGGATAAAAAAGTAAGAATACCAGAGCCGATTCCAACAACAAATCCCTCATTAATGCTGGATTTGTAGGCATTTTTTAGAGCCTTCTTAAAATCTTTCACTGATAGATTTTCCCCAGTAAAAGAAGCTACCTGAAATAGAACAGCTTTTTAGAATGAATCTTACCAATCTTCTTATTTTGTACATTAATCATAACTTATAATGATGTAGCTTAGGTTTTGACTTACAGTTCTTATTGAGCTTATCGTTTGCTGTACAATTGTAGATGTTTCTATATTGGTTTTTTGTCCACGTGAAGCCATCTTAATTGTAACTTTCGATATGATTACACTGCAAAGTCCAATTATGGGAATAGTGGATATCATGACTAGGGTGAGCTGCCACCCTTGCGCAAATGCAACGACAAAGCCCGTGAAGAATGTAGATGTTTGCCCAATGAACTTTCCAACCTGCAAATTGGTAAGAGTGTAAGAATGTCCAACAACATGAATTGGTTCATTGTTTCTATTATTTCAATGAATTGTGAATTGTAACCTTTTCGCCCATGGCCTCTTGAATGAGGATGGTATCCCCTGACATCCTTCCTACAATTTCACCTGTGTTTCCTTCCTTGTCAAAGAATGCAATTTCTTGCTTTAATAGTGCTCTCAAGTACAGTTTCCTTATTCTAGCTGACTGTCGTTCCCCGGTGACCATCCAGCAGGTCACCTCTGATTATAAGAATAAAATATATAAGCTAGTTATTAGCTCAGACTATTACCGTTGTTTAATATCTTTAAATTAAAGCAATTGAAGTATCATACATACGGAAAAATGATGTGAACCCTGCACCAATTGCCAGGTAGACTATATTCAGACATACCTGCAGACATAAACCAATTTCTTTTTAATAGTTTATAGAATACTAGAAGAACTTTAAGATGTTAATACATGTTGTTTGTTTTCAAGTTTATTTGGCAAAATTTCCCGTGCATCTAATTTGAATTAGAAACGAATAGAAGGGCCAGGACAAAGAGATGCTGATATGTGATATAGTACTTTTATGCCATATATTCGTTAATGTAAATTTATGTAGCTTCAAATATATGTTCACACACTCCTACACTACATAAAAATACACAAACATCTTGGCTTTAAATTTTAGGATGGTAAAATTGAGACATGCGAAATGACTTACTCAATACTGTGACAAGAGTCTTCTTGTATAAGATAGCCTTTACTGAATGAAAACTCGCAAGAATTGCTTGTTCTTACTACGCCTTCTAAAGCTTATATTTTTTTAAAGAGGTTAAAATATTTTTTTGCTTCGAATACACAACCATGGATAATTTGAAATTTTTGAGTTTGTGTTCATTGACTGTCAAGTAATGACCTTTTAGGCTTCTTATCAAAATCTATATTTTTTTGGTAAATTTATGTTTAAACTTCAATGAGATGAACTCTTATATTGATCAACCAATAGCATAGGTTGTTTTCATTTGTTACTTGTCAGCTAAAATCACAATTTACTGATGAAAATACCTTTCATGTATGTTAATTGTGAATCATATGAGGGATTTGTTGATTCATGTGCATAAAACTATAAGATAGAAATCTCTTGTTAGACTTTCTCGAGCATGCTTTGAAGGCTTTCAGTATATATACCATTTTGGCTTTGGGTTTCACAAGCAATTAAAGATGCAAGACCTACTTTCTTGATTTGGGCTTCTTGGAGTGCATATTTCTGTTTGGATTATCACTAAAATGAAGCTATAAGATTTCATCATTGATGAAGAGCATCAGTTTCGGTTCTGAATGAGTATTGAATGCCAATACCTTAGTCAAATATAACCATCTTGTATTTGAGGATTCATATTGAGCTTCTTACTTGTGTGCGAGTGTACATGGGATTTAGGAAAAATAGATGTATTCCTTCACACTTTGTGGCTTCGGTACTTTTAAAAGATCAGATCGTCTCTCATCTCCCGTGAATACAGGCTAAATTTTAGTAGAATCATAAAAATCTTGATGTCTCTATTTCTTTGTAATTTATATGTTCTTTTTTCTTATGTAGTTTATTTTGTGTTGCATCATCCATTCATCCATGAGTTGATCATGCTTTCACATCTAGTTTAATTTTTTGGCACTCTGGTTACAACATTGTATTGAAGAGGAATAAGAAATCTCATGATACTTTGCAGATGAAAGGCAGCAATTTTTTGCTTTTACCTTTATTGTTTCTTGGTTGAAACAAGACAAAATATTTTAGTAAGCAGCTTTTAGGAGCTGCAGCAAGTCTTTCTAAACTGAAGTTCTCTTGTCCGATTACTTTTTTAAAGATTGAGAGGCAGTTTGAGGCTTTGTTTGGGATGATTTTTTTAGTGCTTCTTAAAGCAAGCTTTCTAGTATTAAAATTTACTAAAAAGCTGTTTTAAGAAGCACTAAAAAAATCGTCCCAAATGAAGCCTAAATTTTAAACAAGAGAAGCTTTGAAAGAAAGCATCATGTACCTCAGAAATTCTGTGAACCAGTTGATCGATATCTGGTTTTTCTCCAAAAGTGTTGATTAAACTTGCTATGATGACTGTAAGAAGAGGCATAGTAGCTCCATTTGCCAGTGCTCCTGCCACGCCCAGAGTCATCAGAATGATATCAGTTGAATCTGCGAAGGAGAACAGCTTATAGATTGGAACAACTTTAGTCTCCTGGTCCTCTTTCTTGCCATCTTTCACATCCTGCTTTATTTCGCTGTTGTTTCCTTCTGCATTTGTTGAGATTGAGTTCCTGGTTGTTGGAACAAGTAAATTTTGGAGACCATGTCTTACTGCCTCCTCCTCGGTTGGGGAATCACCATTTCTACTCTTCATCATGCCCATCAGTTTTTCCCTCACTGTTAATAGATAAAACTTGTCAATCTCTACTTCAGTTCTCTATTTGTTGTTATTCTAATGATCTAAATCTTTATATCCCTCTTTTATAACGAAATCAAAACCAGATAACAAGAAGCAGAGGAGGACTAAGAAAGAGGAGAAGAAGAAAAGGAAGAGCATATTATACTATCACACCATTGTTCGACAGAGTTCTGTATGTATGGACATTTATATGGATTCTGCTTTGAAATACAGAGTTTGTTATAAATGAAGGGCCGAGATGAAAGATGATTCCAATGATTTCTAAGGAGGGATACGTTGTCTGGAATGAACAGGTGGAATCTAAATTGGCTTTTGATCCTTATTCAAAGAAGAAGACTCCGTAAATCTGACCCAAAATAACTTGTTATTCTTAGACTTAGGCTTCGTTTGAGTCGGCTTTTTTGTTGCTTCATAAAGCAGCTTTTTAGTACAAAAATTAGGCTTCGTTTGAGATGGCTTTTTTTCTGCTTCTTGAAGCAGCTTTCTAAAAAGCCATTCCAATCGAAGCCTTAAAATTTTTATGCTAAAAAGCTACTTTAAAAAGCAATAAGAAAGTCGTCTCAAATGAGACCTTAGTTGACTTATTCAAATCTTGATTGTGATGATAGGACTAAGTTTTGTAACAACCCTCCCCAACTCTTGTCTCATTTGTCTATTCTTGCACTAAAAAGTATCTTTGGCTGTGATCCGGCTATTGTACTTTTTGTTTAACGTAAATGTCTCCATCTGGACAGATAAGGCTGATTTGGTAAGCTTTGGAACCTTTCCCTTCATTTATATGCGGCAGCTAACGACACAATGCAATTTTTTTATTATTATTCATTATTTACATTAAATGAACAAGTAAAATTTGGACCATTTCTCGATTTAACAACATGCAATATGAAATGATTCTATTAACTGGATGACAAGTATGATTCCATTGCTCTCAATGTCCTCTCTTTTGCAAGTCTTAGGGGTTGTTTGGCAACGAGTGGGATTTACCTTTAGTGGGATTTAGTAAATCCGGATTCTGTAAATCCAAGGGTGTTAAATCCTGAAAAATGTTTGGTATGATAACTGTTGAATCTTGTTAAATCTTGAGAAACTGTTTGGTAACCTATGATGCATAGATATGGACACGGGACATGTCAATTATTAAAAATATAGGACACGAACATAGGTTGGACATAATATTATAATTTTATATTTTAAAAAGTGTATACAAATTTAAAAAGTATAATTTTAAAAATAATTTAGAAATAATAAGTCATTTAATTAGAATTTGTGCTTAAAATGATTAATATTATGATTCGAGAGTCGGACGTAATTTCGTTTATTAGTTATCGATAGAGGAGATGTAAATACATTCATTGCCAAAGAGAAATGAAAATGATAATCCTCGATGAATGGGATATTAAGTGCGGGCGATTCATTTGGTGTTGTAAGTTACTCATTAATTATTATTTTACTATTAATTATATATTTAATAATATATATTTAAAGTTATATTAATTAAACTAATTATACAAATATTTAATTACTAAATTATTCAATTAATTTATGCACTAATTATACTATTAATTATTTAATGAATTTACTTAATTATTAATATTTTAAATTATATTAATTAAGTTAATCAGTAATAACTTGGAGGCGTCTAGTGCCTTTTCTCTTCTCTTTTCGTCGTTGCTGTTCGGCTTCGTTTATTTATTTATTTATTTTTTTAATTTTGCGTGTATATCCTCGTTCGGCTTCGTTGCTTCGAGGTGTAGAGATTGCACGCGTGGCTTCGTCGGCTCCTTCGACGACTTTACCTTCCTGTCGGATCGGAAGTTGCGACATTTTGATCGGAAGTAACGATGGGAGCTCGCTGGCTGTGAAGGTAACTTTCTACGCGCGCAAAAAAATCGTTTGGCTGGATTTAGCTTAAATCCAACTTAAATCCAGCTGTAAATCCGATACCAAAAAGCCCCTTAAAGATATTTGTGTGCTTTCAGGATTTTTACACTTTTATTTCTGCTCCTGGTTTTACCTCTCTTTTATTTATACAAAATGATAATTACAGCTTGACTTACATAGAATAAGGCTCGGCTTGGATTGAAAGAAAAAGTCAAGGATATGGAATGTCGGGAACCGTGGAAGTAATTCATGGATGGATTCTGAATCATTTGAGATTTTTAACTCATTTTATCATTTCAGTGAAAATTTTAATGTACTCACATAAGCCTTTAGGGTTTCATATGTAAGCAACTTCCTTTATTTTTGGCCCTTTAGGACACTTAAGTGCTTTAGCAACTTCGTAACAAGAAGAGCCAAATCATCAGTAGAGCACTAGTGATTTATATGACCAAGGTTTTTTAACTTGATTTCGGTTTCGCCCTCATCACAGAAGCTTTGCTTTCATCGGTTTTGGTGTTTGATCTTGCTTTTTCTTAATTCTTAAAAATAATAGTAATGTTATTTCCCTAAATTTATTTGTTTGATAAACTTTAAAAACATAATGCAATATTTTTTGGATGAGCTTTTAGATGATTTGGGTGAATTCGATTAACTTTTGATGGTTGCATGTGTTTTGGTTGGGCTTTGATAGATTTGCTGTTGTTTTAGTGCTTTATGCTTTAATTCAATAATTTCAACCTAAACTAAAATGCACCAAAATAAAAGCTTAGATCAATTTTGAACCACCCTCAACTAAGGATTAGTTTGGGACATTTTCTTTATTGCTTTAGAAAATGGCTTTTTACTACAAAATTTTCTAATTCAAAAATTTTTTGTGCTAAAAAGTTGTTTTAGAAAATAGCAAGAAACTCTCCCAAATAAAGCCTAAATCCTATCCGTTTAGACAATTTTGGACAAAATTCAAACTTTTTTTGTGCATATAATATTGTTTAGTACCTTCTTTGAGACTAACAACCCATAAATATAAAGGTACAATTCACAATTTGAAAACTTCTTTCAAATAGGTATTATCAACTCATCATAGGAGAACAACTAAGGAAAGCCAATTATGTTGAAGTTTTGTTATTGGCGGGATTTTTTATATCCTCAATGGATTGAAATATAAGGCATAAAAAATAATGAATTATCTTGAAGGATATGTTTGATTGGATATGATTTATTTTATTCTTGGTATAAGTTCCTCATAGAGGCAAGCCCCTGTAGTTCATTACATCCCAAGGATTTGTCCTTTAGGAAAATATTTTATGAAGATAGTGGATTGCATTATTTCATCAAAATTTTGGTTAAAATTTCACATAATTTCTTTCTTTTAGAATTTCATATCAAAGATTTGATCTTCGGGAATTTAAATTGGGATTGGATCAACTCGTAGTCAATTTTTAGAATAAAAACAAAAGAGAAAGAGGTAGGAATGCTTTATTCTAAGAAACTCAAAGTACTTAAACTGTCATATATTGAGCTTTATATTTAAAAATTAGATTTAAATTAAAGTTAAACTATTTAATTTAAAAGATTGAGGCATACATTCCAATAGAGTTGGACAAAATGCCTAAGAAGGTGAGGGTTTACGATGTAACTAAAATGAACATCGACCTTAGATCTTGGATCTAAGATGAGAACAACCAAGAGATTGTAACTCTGACCTAAATCTAGTAGAATGTAAGGGACTTACGAACTTGAAACACACATAGGGTTTAGTTAGCATGTTGATCGGTTGGCATGTTGATCGGTAACCTACGATTGGACCTAACTATCGCACGATCCCACAATTCCACCCACGATCACACAACATAACCACTCTCGACAAAAAATCTCTCACATGACAGAAACAAAGGCACGCAGACAAAAATTAAAACTCCCTCCCACTCTCTATCTCTGTCTCACAATCAAAGCATCTCGCAAGCAAGGCCCTCTCTCGTTCGACTCTCATACACAAAGACAGGAGACAAACATTCGATACTTATAAGCGTAAGGAAGCTAAATCTAGCCTTCATCTCTTCCTTTTCCGACACCGACCTCCGTTTGATCTTCGTCCGCCTCTTCCGACTTCCTTCTGCCCCTGACCATCGTTGTGCCCTAGCTTCCTCCAGTTTGACCAGCCGCCAATCGAACCCGACATCCACGATCGACTTGCCTTCCCCCTAGCCGGTCCGACCTGCTTCCGCCCCAGCCACACACTGCCGGCCTTTGGACACCAACCTACATTCGACCTTGCCGCTAACTCTATGCTGGCCTTAACCTTGTGCGAGACCTCCGCTGCCATGCCTTAGCCCCTTGAGTGACCTCCCCTGAAGCCCTTGACCGACGATCTGATCCGACTGAGTGGATCGAAGATTTGAAGAATAATTCCAGGACCCGACAACTTCCCGAAGCCCTCGGCCGTTTACTATCTTTCCGGTTGGGCGGACTAGAAAGGACAAGTACCCTCCCCAACCTCCCCTCACGAGGAGGGGATGTCGGAATGCTGCCAAAATTTCGAATGACAGTGCCGTACTCAGTTTTTGGATCCGCCATTCATGGAGGCTAGGTGACAAATCTCCTCACGACTTGATAGTGCTCTTGAATATTGATGAAGAGAAAGAAGTTTCTCTTGCAACTTGAAGGAGGGAAGAGCCAAAGACAAAATCTGAAATAAATTTCAGATTTTTGGAAGGAGAGGAGAGGGACCTAGGAGAGAAATTCTCAACTCCTCAATTCCGGTTGAGAGTTAATGAGAGAGCCAAGAAGTAAAAATCTGAAAAAAATTTCAGATTTTAGAACTAAGGAGATTTGAATTTGAACTAAACTCAAAAGGGAAAGGGAGAGGGATAGGGGCCAGCGGTAAGGAGGGATGTTGGGGATTTATTTCCAAAAACCCAATGTTAGGTTTGGAAAGAAATGAAAAGGTATGAGGGCTTTGAAAATTTCGGCCAAAGGGGTTTAGGAGTTTGAAATTATTTCCTAAAGGAAGGAGTGAGTTTTGGAAACAATCAAACAATTAATAGAGCATTAATGGAATAGGGAGAGAGGGGGGCCGGCGGCATCATGGGGGTGAGAGGGGATTGGGGGAGCAATTGATTGGGTTCCTATTTTGGATTTAGGAATTAGGAAAGATTTAAATTAACTCCTATTCAAATTTAAAATTCAAATAGGATAAATTTAGAAACTTTCCTAAAATAAAGTTAAATTAGGAAGGATTTTGAATTCAAATTCCAATGAATTGAATTTCAAAATTATCCTAAATTAATCCTCAACCCAATTAGGAAACTCAAGGGAGGAGGGAAGTGGGGGATGGCCGGCGGCTAGGGAGCTGGAGACAATGGCTTGGAGATGGAGCTGGTTGGGATGCAAGGTTGTCCGGTAGGGGAGGTGGAAGGGGCAAGACAAAGGATAAAGAAGAAAACCATGAACCCGGCCGTCTCCAAGGTTGGTGGGTGATCCGATTTCCCTCTCCTAGAGATTTCTCTCCAATCTCACTCTCAAGCTCTCACAAGAATTCATGCACGGAAGAAAATTTTGTAATCAATCATTCATTAATCAAGAATAATAAGCAAGGGGTTTTAAATAGCATAGTACAAGAGACTCAAAATAAAAGACGAACATGCCCTCGTGGCTTACATACAACATCCCTTTACCAGAATGGTACAACGGGAAATAAAATAAAAACAAATACATAAACAAACATAACATGAATCAAAAGTACAATGACTCGATCGTGGCCGTAGATCGGCGGCCACGCCTCTGATAAACCTTCCACGATCTGATGTCCCCATCATTTTGATAATATTGCAACTATTAGGAGATTGTTGAATTAAGTGCTATCAATGAGGCATAGACACCATTATTAATGTTGATAAGGGTTTTATGATTTCCTTGTTCTACAATCACTCCATCTTTAATTACTGCAATATGATCTACATTATTTATTGTGGCGAGTCGATGAGCAATGACCAATGTTGTTCGATTTACCATCACTTGATTTAATGCATCTTGAACAATTCGTTCCGATTTCATGTCCAGTGCACTAGTTGCTTCATCTAGGAGCAAAATCTTGGGTTGTTTTATTATAGCACGTGCAATCGCTACTCTTTGTTTTTGCCCTCCAGATAGTTGAGTTCCTCGCTCTCCCACCACAGTTTGATATCCCTACAACATTTTATTAAAGGATAGAAGAACATATATGAGAAACATGCTTAGTTGCTCATTGCTTCATTTTTATAAACTATATTATGACTTCAATTGATGTGATATTGTTAATAAAATGAATTGTCTTATTTCAATTCTAATGTGGGATAATGAAAAGCCAAGGCTAAGCTGACTCAACTCACATGCATGCACATGAACACATACATGTGAGCTTGCACACACCGAGTAGTGCACAAGGGAGTTCAGACACTCATATGCATGCAAGTATAAATAATTAGCTCTTTTGGGTTTCATACACATGACTACATGAGCGCACATGCAAACACTCGTACGTGCAAGAACATATGTAGTAGTTTTCAGGTGTCAAATGAGCCATGTTTCCTATTTAAATTTTAAAATCGATATTTTTAAAACCTAAATGCTCAATGCTAATGGGTGAGAGCTCAAACTAGCTGTCCCTATTGATTTATTAATAAGTGCAACCTTGTTTTAATTGATGATGTTCATCTAGATATAGTATTCTTGAAACACCATGGTTGAAAATAATGAATCCTGATTGATTTTGAGCCAACTTAGCTCGAATCAATGCAATTTTGAGTTAGGTTTATTTATATTTAAGCTGGCTAGAAAATTGGACTTTTGTTTTGCTTTATTGGTTCTTACAAATTAGTTTATAATGGATTAAAGATTTAAAAGATAAATTCTATGATGTTTAAATACAAGTTACATTGGTTATTTTATGGACTCATCTAACCTGATTCAAAGTTGATATGAATTTGTGGGCATTCGCTAACTCTGCTGCAGCAATAACCTCAGTCTCATTTATTGTTCCTTCCTTTCCATATGCAATGTTAGCATAAACAGTATCATTAAACAAAATTGGTTCTTGGCTTACCAATCCCATCTGTTGTCTTAACCACCGTAATTGAAACTTTTGTATCTCTATGTCGTCTAGCAATATATATCCTGAATTCGGGTCATAAAATCTCTGTAGCAATGCTATAGCTGTAGATTTTTCACTTCCAGTCTCTCCGACAAACGCAGTAACCTAACAAAATAAAATTTAGCCAGTGTTATAGATTGAACTTTATTTATTTCATCATTCTGTTTCTGTTTGATGCATCATATAAACTTTCCAGATTGAATAGACAAGCAAATGTCACGAAAAATTTGGACATCTGGCCTTGTGGGGTATTTAAAACTAACATGTTGAAACTCAATGTTACCCTGAATCGTTTCCAAGGTCAGTCCAGAATCGCTACTTGGGTCTATTTTAGATTTACGGTCAAGAGCTGCAAAAATAGAAGCCGCTATATATTTAGCTTTATTGAGGTCAGGTTGATAGGATATTGATATGAAAACGTCATTTGTTGTCAGGACAATGGCATAAAAAACCTGCAAAGAATGTTAAAGCAAGTAATGGAAATTAGTAATATAAAGTGCATCAATACTGATGTGATAATTTGAAGTATCTAAAAAAGAAAATCTATGGAAAAAAAAAGTTTAAAAGTATAGCTACAAATGCAATAAAATTTAACTTATAAAGTTAACGATATAAAGGAGATTGACTCCACAAAATATATGCTGGGTTTAATTTGGCTTAACTCATGAACAAGAAGTGATGTCTTCTATTTAATAGTGCCTACTTTCTCAAGCAATTGCATTAAATATCAAAGTATAGCTATAGCAACTAGGCTATACAAGTAGATTGTTTAAGTTGAAGGGAAACTAAGGAACTTAAAGTCTAACAAGCGCATATGGTAATTTCTACTTATTCTCAAGTTAAAAAGCTGACAACAACAAGCTTGTGAAAGAGGAAGGGAAAAAAGAGATAAGAGTACATGAAATGTCATAAAATCTCATCTTTATAAGTTGGTTTTCCTTTTCATGTCAGATGCCTATCCAACATATATATGTTGTATTCTTTTGCTCTACACCCACTAATTATTAATTTTTCTTTCATTTTGTAATCATTTTAAACCTATTATATATGATTACTTGCAGTGGCAATCTAAGAATATTTGGTACATTATTATTATTTTTCTGTATTTTAATTATCCCGTAGTAACTGAACTATATATGATTGTTTCAATCTCTATAAATCGTTGTCAAAATTGCCTATTATCAATTCAAGTAATTTGTTAACTGAACCGTGCTTACCTGATACACTTGTCCAAATGTTATGCTCCCATTGCTGACAAGGCGAGCCCCTGCATAAAAGATGGCAGCATTGACACAAATTGTTAAGGAATAGAAAACTGCAGAAGTTATTCCACTAGTTGATCCATGTTTGATTCTAGCGCTTATAGGTAATTCACACCTTTTATTGTATAGTTCCATTATCTTTTCTTCAGCCGCAAATGAAGCAACTGTCCTTATGCTTCTCAAAGCATCATTAACCACCTGGTTTGCATCTTCATACATCATCTGAAATCATTTTCAAATGTTAGTTACTGATTTGAAGAATGAGAGGCTTATTAATTGATTGACTTGTTTTGTAAGCCTATTTACTCTTTAGATGCTTGGACTAAAATTAATTTTGTTGGCATGAAATGTAGTTTCAAACCTTTGCATCAGCATTAAATCCTTTCATAGAACTCATTCTTATGCATCCATTAATGGTTATAAAGGGTACCAATGCCATGACAATAAGTGAAAGCTGCCAGCTAGCAAGCAAAGCGAGTGTCAAGCCACCAATTAAGGTGGTTGTATTTTGAACAATTAGTGCTAGTGAATCACCAACAATACTTTTTAAGGTAGCCGCATCTGAGGAAAGCCTTGAACCAATTGCTCCACTGGAGTTTTCATTATCATCAAACCATGCTATTTCCATATTGATAACTTTTTTAAATGTCATTAATCTAACTCTTCTAATCAATCTGGCCCCAGCAATTGCAAATAAGTATGATCCTATTGGAATTGCCACTAGATTAGCCACACCAAATGCCAAGTATGTAGCTGACCATATTACTGAATCTTTCTTAATCTTATATGGTGACGAATAAAGAATTGTGATGATAGTACATATCATTAATGCTCTCATGGGACTCTTGAGTCCATTGACAATAGCAGCCATTGATCCAGCAAGTAAAATTTGTATCTCTTCCTTATTAAGGTAGGCGAGGCGATGGAGAGGTACTTTTTTTTATTGTTTTGAGGGAAAATCGGCTTTTGATTTCCTTGGTGCATGTCCTTGTACATAATCTCTTTCAGGGAAATCAGGCCCTATGTAGGTTAAGCTGTGGCTTGAATACCCCAAAGATAATTTTGCACCAAGGGAACTTCTTAAAAGTTGATGTTGGTCGACATTTGTTGCTCCAACAATTTGGTGATTGTCTCCAATAATTAGGTGATCAGCTCCATCCTTATCAGTTTCTGTTGATTGCTCGAAATTTGTATTTATTGACTGTATATGAATGAGCTGGCCGTAAGCACCATTTTGATCCCTTAGTAACTCGAAGTGAGAACCTAGCCAAAATATAACTTAGAATGACAACCTACCTATAATAAAAATTAACCATGGAGTTCTTTCTAAATTTTGGAAGGTGAAAGAAAGACAAATTAAATAAAAATTGCTAATATGCTAGCACCTTTTTCAATAATTGAACCTTGGTGCATAACTACTATAGAGTCTGCATTTCTCACAGTGGTCAGGCGATGAGCTATTATAATAGTAGTGCGATTTCTCGTAACTCTATCAAGTGCCTCTTGTACTACTCGTTCTGATTCCACGTCAAGAGCACTGGTCGCTTCATCTAATAGCAATATTCTTGGGTCCTTCAAAATAGCTCTTGCAATGGCAATCCTTTGCTTTTGTCCTCCTGATAATTGAGTACCATGCTCACCAACCATGGTATCTAGTCCCTGAGAATCATGAGCAACTCGATTTAGAATATATCATATATTTGTTGATAGCCATATAAATTATTGAGTAGAATGATTTTTTTTTATGGTTTAGAACAACCTGAGGTAACATATCAATGAACTTTGAAGCATTAGCTAATTGAGTGGCAATTTTGATTTCTTCAATCGTTGCATCGTTTTTTCGATATGAAATATTATCTCTAATTGTTGATGCAAAGAGAATCGGCTCTTGGCTAACAAGACCTATTTTTTTTCTGAGCCATCTAAGGTGAAATTGTTTGATATTAACACCATCAATGAGAACTTCGCCATCTTGTGGGTCATAAAACCTTTCAATCAGGTTGATTACTGTTGATTTTCCACTTCCATTCTCTCCGACCAATGCAACAGTTGTGCCGCCATGAATGAAAATTGAAAATCCTGCCAAAATTTTCTCTTTGGGTCTGGATGGATATCTAAAATAAACATCTTTAAATTCTATGTTCCCATGAATAACATCTAGTCTTTTTCCTGCTATGTCAGAAGCATTAATCTCTGGCTTTCTATTGATGATCTGAAAAATCTTATATGCAGCAACTTGGCCCTCCACAAATGATGTCATGCATGGAGATGCCTGTTCTATAGAGCTAATGATAATCATGGGATTAGCATATCCATGTGTAGAAAAACGAGGTATAATATGACTCTGTGCAAGAGAATGTAGAATAGCTTCACAAACTAACTCATCAGGGGTTATTTACCATGTTGTTCACGCTAATTTATTGTTAGATTGTGCTTCATCACAAACTGGGCAAACAACAACTACTAATTATTGCATATTACATTAAATTGGTTCGTTCAATGGAATTTTCTATTTATTTTTATGTGGGTAAAAACTGAATTCAGGTGATAAGCATTTGAACTTGATCAAATTGTATACTATAATAATTACATGAAGAGAACACAGGGAACATTTCAAGTAAATTGCAAAATATTTTATAAAATTTGTGATAGCACACTCATATAGGATTTAAGTTAGATTATAGATGCTATTTTTTTAATAGTACTTTGTATATCATGTATACTTTCGTATAATCAGTTATGAAGTGTTGGTGAAAACTGAAAACCATTCTTGCACAAAAAAAATGAAAGCATTATTGGAAATAAAAACATATTTTTGATGTAGATTATTCTTTCACTAATTTATCAATTTGATAAAAAAACTTCACCAGAACAAAAAATTGAATTTGAAAAAGTTTATGCTTGCATATGTCTAAATCTGCCAAGTGACTGAAAATGAAAACCCAACCACTTCTTTCAATTGCATAGATTTAGGTTTTGTGGCACGGATCAAGGCACTACCTTTCAATTCATATTTGAAGTTCTTATTGTTCATCAATATTGTTTTTATCTATATGTATGTATAACCAAGAATTTATCAAGGGTTAGAAACTTACTTTGAAGCAAATATGACTGCAAATATAATACTAATGATTTCTCCACCAGTTTAGCTTTTATCCATTATTAGTTTTGCTCCATACCAAAAGCCTAAAGCAAGTGCACTATATGACAAAATCAATGTCATACCATTGCTTAATCCAACAGCAAGGCCCTCGTGAATGGTTGATCTATAGATATTCTCCAGTGCCTTTTCAAATTTGTTCACTGATAGGTTTTCCCCTGTAAATGAAGCCACCTGAATAGGTGCAGTTTGCAAGGAGAAGCATCTATTTTTAGTCCTTCAAATTAATTCTGCGTAACTATGGATTAATGATAGTTTTGCTTACAGTTCTAATTGAGCTAACTGTTTGCTGTACAATTATAGAGGCTTCTATATTGTCCTTTTGACTGCTTGATGCAATCTTGATTCTAATTTTTGACATGAAGGCATTGCATAACAAAATAGGAGGGATGGTGGAAATCATGACTAAGGTGAGAAGCCAGCCTTTAATAAATGCAACTACGAAGCTAAGGAAGAATACTGACGTTAGCTCAATGATCTTACCAACCTGCAAAAAACATAAATAGTAAAAGAATCACCAACACCCATATATTGGATTGCAATGTCTTTGTTCAATTAACAGTTTTTTTGTAATCTTTTCACCCATGGCATCTTGGATAAGGATGATGTCCACTGACATCCTCTCTACAACTTCCCCTGTATTTATGTGACTATCAAAGAATGCAATCTCTTGATTTAATAAGGCATTTAAGTATAATTTTCTTATTTTTGTTGTCTGCCATTCACCGGTGATCATCCAGCAAGCCAACTCTAACAAAAAAGCAGAATTTATACCAAGCATTAACACATAGTTCAATTTGTTATTAGTTGTTGATGCAATATACTTAACGAAGAAATGGTGCAACCACTGCCCAGATTAACAAGCAGACATATTGAAGACAAACCTACAAGCACAGATCAATATCTTCTAATTATTCATGAAAAATTTTTTAACACTACACATATAATCTTTTTCTTTTTTTCCTTTTGCTTATTTGAAAAAGTACTTGTGCATATCTGACTTCAATTATACACAATACTCTCTACTAAACCATTGCAATAGTCTTCATTAACATGAACTTCATGTTTGTGATATTTCTAGTTAACTGTTTCTTTATTATTGTTCCTATTTCAGGGATTTACTTAAATTTATCTCATTGATATCTATGATGATTAGTTTGTTTGTTTTTTTCTTGTTACTTGCAACTACACGAAATATTTGTGGTCTGATTACTTCTGAAAAAGAAAAATTTTATGTAGAACTACAGAGATCAGCATTGAGGAGAATTCTTATTCCATTGAATTTTTATAATAATGTCAAGATTGATGTAAATGAAAAAAAAAACAATTTAGTTAATTTTTTTATCAAAATGTGATAGAGAACGATTTAAAAGTAAAATTTATTTTAAAATGTTAATTAATTCATTATTCATATGAATTAAAATTCAGCAGCATTAAAACAAACTTTGGCTTTAAATCTCTCCCATACAATTTTTATTTGTGACAACAATTCTTAAGATGCTAAATTTCTTAAAGGAACTTGTCAGAATTTAAAATTTGATTATCTTTTTTTATTTTTTTATCCAAAATAAGAACATCACAGTCAGGGACAATTAAGGCTTCGTTTGGAACAGTTTTCTTGCTACTTTTCAAATCATCTATTTAATATAAAAATATTTTATTATTTAAATTTGTATTGAAAAATAAAATCTAAGTCTTTATTTGAGCCAGCTTTCTTGTTATTTTATAAAGCTATTTTTTTGTAATTTTTTTTTAAATCAATAAAATAAATAGTGACGAAAAATATCTCAAATAAAGCCTAGAGCGAAAAAGAAGCCTTCTTACTTCTATTGTTTTATTATTATTATTATTATTATTATTAGGACATTGGTCTTTATTTGAGCCAGCAGTGATGAGCATCTATCATTGGTGTGATCGATTTCATTTAAATATGACCTAAAAACGCTGTCCTCATAAACTTTAGGACTTGTGATTTAGGTTTTGATTGGGACGGTTTTCTTATTGATTCTTAAAGCAACTTTCTAGAAGAAAAAAATTAATATTTGGTACTAAAAAATTATTTTAAGCAGCAATAAGAAAGCTGTCCCAAACGAAGCCTTAGTGCTTGAACAGATTCAACCACAACATACGGCCAAATCACATTATTATCAACGACGCACTATTAATACAAATTAATGCAAAATCACATTATTATCAACGACGCTATACTACAAAGATTATTTAGTAGGGGCGGTAGCTTTCATTGCCATATGAAGCTAAAACGTACGGTTTCAATAAACTCTTATTTAGGTCTAATTTAGGAGAATATTACAATATGGTCTCAATTTTTTCATAGCAGTAATAAGTTTTAATGATTAATTATCTTTTTCAATTATTTGAGAGAATTTTAATTAAAGTTAGTAGTTAGCACTAAATGCTTAGTTTATAATGGTAATAATTTATTTTTTAGGGTTGAAAAAGCTTATAGTTGTTAGTTTGAAGAGAATGGGAGAATGATTATGAGCTCAATTAAGATCTCATAGTTTCATTATCCGAAGTTCTTATGGAC